TTTTTGAAGGGCAGAAGCGCTCGAGGTAGTGCCAGTCGCTGGTTAGGTTGCCGGTAACTGCCCCCACGGAGGGTTTCTTACAAGCAAGCTGATAGCGAGTCACGTCTAGTCCAAAAAATATTAGACATTTTTGAGTAAAAATGCAACAAAAAAACTAACATTGAGCATATGCACAAGTCCCGGGCGGCAATTATCGAATTGTCCATACTCGTCCACTAGAATGCTTGCCAAATAGAGGAAGCAGGAGTGCGGATGGCAATCATAAATACTGATCATCTGAAAAAAAAAATAACAAACTTCATTCCCATGGACAAAATTCTGACTACACCTCTGTTAGATCAGATTTTATTGCCGCATAATCCTGATTTCCCGCAAATCTGATCTCCATTAATTTATCTTCCACAAGAAATCTAGGGAGGATAAACGCCCGTGATTGCGGTAATCGCACTTCTTTCAGCAGTAATGAAGCGCTACTAATTAGTGAAAATTTTGGCAAAAAATGTAAAATGGATGAAAGAAAAGGTAAAAATGGGAAAGATGTAAAAAGAAGTAATAAATTAGGTAAGAAATGTTTCGGTCCATTAAGTCGTATACATTTCTTACCCTTACCACAGTTGGACCTCGTCAGTACGACGACTGTGGTAACAATACTAAACCTCTCAATAGTTATCATTTCTTAGAACTGACTAGCAAGAAAACTAGAAACAGTTTGAGTTTTTATCATCCTTTTAAATATTCTAAGTTTAATTTAGCCATCTCAGTAAACCAACAGAACCAAAAGAAGGGCCACTATCGTCAAATTAATGCAAATAGTTATTATCCCTATGTTTTTTTACAGTCAATAAAAACAAAAATAATTGGGACATTATTCAGCCCACGAACTGCAAAAATATGCAATTATTTGCTTTAGAATATTGTCCCTGCTCATCCCTGTGATGGATTTTTTTATCTTCCAAGATTTATCAGGGAGCAAACTAATCGCCACTATATTCTCTCACATGTGACAGTGCCAATTTACCATCGAAACGAATGGACGAAACGCGGACAGACTGGTTATTTCGCCGGCAGAGTAGGGTCCACGATCTCCAATGCTAAAGCGGCCTTGCCCACCAGCGATATTCCTAAATTTCTTTAGAAACTAACCTGTTCAACAAGCGGCTCGATGAATGTGATTGAATGGATGCCCAGTGAGCGTATTATGAATCGCAGTGTCCGGCAACAATGCTCAACAACTCGAGTGTTTCGTTCGAATTTTTTACATGTTCCCGAGACAACTGGCCAAACCTCCTTAACTGTTTCCATCCATAGTTCTGGTACCGAATCGAGGATTACTTTTGAGCCACCTAGAAACAGAAGAAATAAGAAATGCTAAAGTATGTGTGAAAGTCCATCTAAACTATATCCATCTAATTTATCTACCTAAATCTATATATCTATCTAACAAAGAAGATATACCTAATATCTAATAATATCTAATATTTATCTATCTGTATTTAATAATATCTAATAAATGTTTAATATTTAATAAATATTTAATATCTAATAAACATCTAATGAATAATACCT